TAGATCTGTAACGTAAGTTTCACTTCTCCAGTGTAGCCCAGGCGCACTTCCTTTTTTTTGTTTATAAAACAGTGGNCGTAAGTTTCACTTCTCCAGTGTAGCCCAGGCGCACTTACTTTTTTTTTTGTTTATAAAACAGTGCGCGGCACAATGCATTTTTTTTAACGTCGACTGTCCACAAACGGATCAATGCAATGCTGCAGCAAATGGAAGTCGATTTTTTGCCGAATTCTCTAAAATTAAATAAATTTTGCACACTTCGATTCTTTTACGAAATTTCGGAAGAAAATCGGTAAAGCAATGAANCCACTTTAATGTACATATGTATGTACATATATTGGTTATGAGACAAAATAGATCTGTAACGTAAGTTTCACTTCTCCAGTGTAGCCCAGGCGCACTTCCTTTTTTTTGTTTATAAAACAGTGGGCGGCACAATGCATTTTTTTTAACGTCGACTGTCCACAAACGGATCAATGCAATGCTGCAGCAAATGGAAGTCGATTTTTTGCCGAATTCTCTAAAATTAAATAAATTTTGCACACTTCGATTCTTTTACGAAATTTCGGAAGAAAATCGGTAAAGCAATGAAAATAATGCTGCTATGTGAAGAATTTCTTGAGGATTTTTTCAGAATTTTCTTTATTTTTCGTACAGAAATTTCTTTACGAGTTCGTGTCAACCGCTTCATATAATTTTCTTTAAAGATTCGTAACAAAATGTTATAGGAATGAGATACTCCTAAAGATTTCGTTAAGATTTCGGGAGCTTTGGTTTGCAGGGTAAATACTTTTCAACATGCATTCCCTGCAAACATTTGGAGTCATAACCGCGCAAACATATTCTGAGCGTTCATAATATATGAGTCCGAAAGGAGTCCTAGGTAGGTAAGAAATATGAGTTACAAAAACAAAAAATTGTTTACTCTTATGTGAATCTTTTAGGATTCATATATGATCCTAGTTATGAGCCAGCACGTTGTGCGAATATAAAAACAATAAAGATGTGAAATTTATATCTAAACTTGTTTATACAGAAATTGAAAATAATTAGTAAACAAAAAATGAACAAAATTTAGCTGCAGCTGCTGCTATTGAATGCATGTTGGAATCTTAGAGAAGTTATCTACGTTCTTTGCTAAAACAAAAATTAAAGTAGCAAATTAATGTTAATTAAAATATGTATTTATTTACAGAAAAATGCAGTTAGTGCCCTATTACACTAGCTTCAATGAGCCCTTAGGTAAATTTCTAGCAAGAAGACGCTTATTATTAGTAAGACCAATATATACTGCAATTGTAAATACACCAAATTGTAGACGCATACAAGAAAGGTGAAAACTAAAACCGTACTTGTCTTAATTCAAGTTTCTTCGGGTGCTGTTTTAATAGATATTAAAGCATTAAATAACACGCGCATTGCCCTTGCTTGCTTTGCTTCACTCATTTCTGATAGAATTGCAGCTACAGTTTGACCAAAGGATTGTACAGCATTTTGAATTTCTATTGGCATCTCAACTTTCGGTATGCAGATATCTTCTAGCGGATTGCTTTCATCGGAAAATTCATTACTTTCAGCACTAAAGCTTTTGAACTTTTTTAGTGGTGCAGGAGACTTCCAACCCCGCGTGTCATTGCTTGCACTTCGAGGACTAAAAATTCGAATGGATTTACATACATTAATACAATAATCTTTAAATAATAAAATATAAATTTATACTTACCCTCTTGGCTTGACAAATTCTCTGAGAAAAGAAAGCGAGCTAAAATAGGGCCAGTCTATAACTACATGCTCTTTACTTCGTGAATGTTTTTCAAGTTTTCTCAGTTCCCTGGAATAACGTTCTCGTATACTCGTCCACCTTTTTGCGCATTCATCCGCTATGTAGAATTTGTTTAATACGAATGTAGATATGAATGTATGTAGGTTAATAAATATTCAATTCACTAACGTGTGGTCTCTAACTGCTCGCCGATTGCGTTCCATGCTTCCTTTTTTGCCTCAAGGCCTTTATATCCGACGCAATGTTTGTTGTAAAGTATTTTGTGGCTCCGTACTAATTCAATCAGCCTCTCGTCGAGTGTCATTCTAAGAAACAAAGGAGTGAACATTAGCAACACATTAACGTTGTGAAAATCGTTATGCATTTTGTATGCATATGCAGATATTTTCAAATATTCGTTATGTTTTCATAAATTCTATAAACATAAATCTGTTACGAAAAGAAGGTATGCTATGTTCAGTCGCCATAATGGTGTAAAGTTCCATTGTAGAGGCCATCTTTGACATTTTCTATGCTATGCCGCTTTGCACTAATTCACTTATTTACGTGAGGCTCTTACATTGCAAATGAACTCGTATCGTCAAATCCATCCTCCATTTTAATCTTTTANGTAGAGGCCATCTTTGACATTTTCTATGCTATGCCGCTTTGCACTAATTCCCTTATTTACGTGAGGCTCTTACATTGCAAATGAACTCGTATCGTCAAATCCATCCTCCATTTTAATCTTTTAATCTTTGGAACGTAAAACTAAATAATTATCCAATGAATTCTGTCCAAGTTAAATAAATATCAAAATGCTAAAAGGAAACAAACAATTGAGTTGTCAAAACATTCCAACTGGAAATTCCTCCATTTTATTATACTATTGTGAATGCGACCGGTAGAGCTGCCATCATTTATGTAATACTTCTATATTGGCAGTATCTACCATGATACAAAAAGAAGGTAGTTTCATTTCAAAATTTTTGACAAAAAATAAGATTTTAAAGTTTCATAAATTGTACAAAATTGTGAGCTACCTTGCTATATTATTAGCAATCAAACAACACATCAGAGGATTTAATGTTGTGCGTGGGGAATGTTCAGTCATTTGTACAATGATGTTTTCGTGGAGAGCGGAGGGAGAAGGGGTATGTCACCTAAAACTACACTTATTAAAAAGAGCATAGTAGGTATAAAATTTAAGAAAAGCCATGCTTCTCCCCTGCCCCTTCTACAGGCGCTCGGGGGGCCATTTTAAAATGGGGTGAAATAAGCATTTTCGCAAAGAAAAATTAAACTCGTGTTAGGCAAAACTCCTTTACGGTTACGCCATGCACGTAATTTTTGCGCAAAACCCACCTACAAATTTACCACACCTATTGCGAGTGTCGACTATTAGTAGATAAACGAATATTTGTCGATTATCGATTATCCATGGTATTTTGAATGTCGTTTTCTCATACAATAGGTGAGTGTGAATATTTTCTTAGCGCTCATCCTTCTACAAACAAACAGTTGTAGAAGGATGAGTGCCTAAAAGCTATTCACAGTCGCTTTTTGAACGAAAATCGAAATTCAAAATACCATGTAAAGTCGATAAACAAATAATAGTAGTTTATCTACTAATACATAGTCGACCCCCGCAATCGGGGTGTACGAAAAAGGTGCATATTTCAAACTGAAATCTTTGTTTTAAATTAAAGCTTTATCCTTTGGCTAGACGTATATGTTTAAACTTTTTGATTCGGGTGGCGCGTTTGGACACGATAACCCAAGAGCATTTTACAAATAACCGAACCGTACCCGAGCTGTCTTACTTATGAATTTTTCTATAAACAAAAATTTTATAAAATGAAACTGAAGTAGTTTTCATCTTACGTGGATAATTTCTGTCACAAATACATAGTTTCATGCTTATATATTTATCTATATATTTTTTAGAGGCGCCACATCTTTATCAGAAAAATTCCGGGAACCCAAATTTGGAACTGTTACAAGTTGCAGGGCATCATTTTAACTCGACCTCCACCCTCTTCCATGGAGACAATTTTTTTTACCGAATTCTTGCAGTTTCAAAACGCACAAGAATTTTCTTTAATATTTTCATCCAACTTCACTGAATCCAATTTTTTTTTGGCTTTTTCAAGAAATAAAAATTTTGCTGCTAGTGAATCTGGTAGCATGATTTTAGCTAAATGTCATAAACTTGTTAAAAGCAGATACCGAAAAGAATTATTCTCTTAATATTTAAATTTTTTTTTGACTTTGGACGCATTCCCGACGACTGGAATTTAAGTGCGCTCTGCCAAATCCACAAGAAAGGCGATCCCGCCATACGCGCCAACTACCGCAGGATCAGCTCTCTAACCACAGGTTACAAGGTCCTACCGAGCGTATTGTGTGAAAGACTGAAGCCCACCGTCAACGAACTAATTGGGCCTTATCAGTGTGGGTTAGACCTGGAAAATCCACCATAGACCAAGTATTCACAAAACGCCAAATCTTGGAAAATACCCGCGAGAATAATATCAACACACACCATCTATTTGTTGATTTCAAAGCCGCTTTAAACAGTACGAAAAGAAGTTGTCTTTATGCCGCGACGCCTGAATTAGGTATCCCCACGAAACTAATACGGCTGTGTAAAATGACGTTGAGCAATACCACCAGCTCCGTCAGAATTGAGAAGGATCTCTCCGAGCCGTTTGATACCAAACGAGGTTTCAGACAAGGTGACTCCTTTTCGTGTGATTCCTTTAATCTGAAGGAGAAGTAAAGTCCTTTCTCGTCGTACAAAAATCACCTTTTGTAAGTCATCAAGAATACATCTGATTAAGCGGAGTTTTCGAAGGAAAAGTTCTTCGAAAGATTTATTGGCCTTTGCGCGTTGTCCATGGCTAATACCGCAGACGATTTAACGATGAGCTGTATGAGCTTTACAAAGATATAGACATAGCTGCAGGGGATTAAAATAGAGCGGCTACGCTGTCTAGGTCATGTCATTCGAATGAACTCCGGCGCCCTAGTTCTGAGAGTATTCATCGCGGGTCGCGATGCTGGTAACAGAGGAAGAGGAAGGCCTTCTCTGCATTAGAAATACCAGGTGGTGAAGGATTGGGCTTCACTTCACATTTCCATTTGGCGTCAGTTAGCAACGACTGGCGTGTTGTTTTGGAATCGGCCACAATCACCTAGGCGGTTACAGCTCCAATAAAGAAGAAGTAGCAGGCGTCGCAAGGCTTCACGCAGTTTTTTCTTTGCCCCGTCCAATTGTTGGTTTTGGGTGGTGATGCCAGCCTTTATCTTCACAAAGATATTAACAAGCCGGGTAGAGACGGGCTCCCTATTAAGGGTCCACACATTCCAGGTGTTTGCCCCAAATCGCTTAAACATTTGCCGTGGTCGTCATCAAAAGAAGGATGCCTCATCCGAGGCTTGATTTTCTGTTCACTGGTAATTGTTTTTACGTAGCGGGTACCAAGCCCAGCGCGAAACCCGTCTCGATTCATGCCGCACTTAGTCAATGGAATTTCATGTGCGGCGTTGGCAAGCAGAAAGCGTATATTCGCTTAGCAAACCTTGAGAGTCCGGGTTCGAATCGCATTTGGCGCAAATTGTTATTTTTATTTTTTAAAATCGAGTAAGGCCTTTTGGAAGAGATTTAAGTTCCTAAAATTTGAACCTGGGTGGTATGTAGGTATTACACCTCAGCCGTGTACATGTTCAGGAACGTGCACTTTTTTTGACATTTGTCAAACAAACCAAAACAAAAAAAAAAATACTAAAACGAAGAAGGTAAACCCACCGGATTTTAACGTGTTAGCAAAAACGTTTCGTTATCGATTTTCGATTACTAATAATAGAGCCTTAACCTTTTTTCTCAGCAAAAATCTGCCGAAAATGAAATGGATGTCTGCATTGGCATTCATTAAAAAGCCAGGACAATTTAAGGTGGACCAGGACACCAGCGCAAATTGCCTAAAACCAGGACGAATCCTAGAAAACGAGGACGTCTTGCAGCGCTATATTAGTCGCATATTCCCTTGCGATTGCTCCCGGAGTCATCCGAGATTAGTCGCCTTTTTTGCGGGGTACTCTGTCGAGTGTACGTACTCCAGTGTTGCCATTTTGCTGCTTTTGGAGCTAGATTTAGCTCTTTATTTTTCTATTTAGCTCCGAAAGTTGGGCTTTAGCTCCTAGCTCTTTTTTTTAGCTCCAGGAAGTTTAAGTTGTATTTGATAATATATTAAAATTAAAAATCTGTAATTTCATTGTAAAAGTGTTGACTAAAATTTACTTGGCTTTGGTGATCTCAGGCTATGTTCGATAGCTTCATGTTATTCTATTTGATTAATACATATTTAGTAAAGTTCCTAATACAAATGGCACATACGCAAATGGAAAATGGGCAAGTAGATCGATTAGTTTCTACAACGTGCGCGGGAGCACAAAAACTATACCGGGCAGTGATTCCAGCTCCGATAAGCTCAGACGGTGTATTCTATTTCAGGCAGCCACGGTAGAAAAGCAAAGCCAAACTTAAGCGTTGATAAAACTACAAATTTCGAAATGTAGTGGAAAAACATACCTTTTTATCCACGGTAAAATATGGACTCCACCATAAACCTCGGATCTAGGTTAAAGAATTCAAAACTGAATTATAAGACAAACCTTTATCTTACTAAATTTACCTTAAGGAGAGAAGAAAATAAAACTTTTCAGACAAATTTTGCACATAAATGATTCGTAACCCGAGTTTTATGGTCAACACAAATATCTGAAATTGCAGATTTTAACAGTTTGTAAAGTTTTTCCTTTTTGGTTGTTGTTTCCGACAGGGTGTGTGTATGATGTATTTTGGAACGAATTTCCGTCATCCCTTGTCAAATTTGGTTTGGAGACACACCGGTTTCGGCGTTGTGCCATCTTCAGTGTCATTTTTCGTTTGTTTGTAAAGTATTTTTAGTTCATTGTCTAGTTTATATAAGTATATCGACCCCTTTGCGCAAAATTAGCGTATGTTACATTTTTTTACGAAATTGACTTTTTGATGCAAGTTTGTTCTCCATCCCATAAAGCATCACCTGTTAAAATAATATAGCTGAAATCCCTATAGCTACCATAAAAATTAACTGTAAATTCTATCGTATGTGACAATAAATTTGGCCACTCTGAGTTTAAAAACTGGAAGTCTTTTGCAGATGTTTTGTTGCCCAACAAAATTAAAATAAACTTAAATAAGCTTCGTATAGCTACATTCGAAAAAAAACTCAAGTAAAATTGAACTCATGTACGGTTATTATGATAGTTCTACTAAAAAAGTCACAACAACAACTTAAATTTTACTTATAAGCTAGAAACGTTGTACCATAAGTCCTTATGCATATCCACACAAAAATTTAATGATTTGCAAAATCTTTGTTTTAAAAATAGCATACCATCAAAATATCACAATGAATATTTAAATTTAAAATATTCATCAAAATTATAAGGCTTGTTAAATGAAAGACGAAGATTAAAACTGTTTAAAAACATTAGTTTTAATTAAACCTATGTCTTTGCTGAGCGCTACTATTGGTTAATGTTAATGTAAAAACTTAATAATATAAAAAATTAATAAACTCCTAATTTTTCGAAAATTTAAATAACAAATACGGCTATGTTTCAGTTTATGTGCAATTTCAACTGTTATAAATGTTATCGTAAGTACCAAACTTGGCGAGTACATTTATAAAACCTTGTGAATAAAATTAGCGTATTTGCAGAAAAACATGTACATATATTTCAAAAAAGGAAAATTTTCTACGAAGGTTAATTAACTTACTCAATTATCTCACCAAATCCAGAATTTAGTATTGAAGGTGCCAGCCAGA